TGTTTACTCTCTATATTTTGTAGAACAACTAGTGGTTTTAAGTTAATGTATAATGCAATGTATTACTAATAATACTGTCCTTCAGCAAACATCACAATGACTTCTCTGTCTGTGATGCATGTATGATTTTTATATTAAATGATTATAAATATTAAAGAACATCATTATTTATATTCCATTCATGGTATTAAAGCTGTAATGCAGTGCATGGCAGTGACCTCTTGTCCCTACAAGTAAAAAAAATGGACTTTATTGCCGTTCCACATTCTGGATGTCGTTGCCATCCCGTGATGCCTCAGATTAAAAATCCTGTACTGGTGCATATAGGCTTATCATCTCTAACAGGGCTATATGTGCACATGCGCAATGCATACAGCACTGCAGAGATTAACGAATTTGCATGCATTGTCAGCTATGCCTGGCAAAATATATCAATTATACGGACACTCTAGGCACCATTATTTTTCACAAACATCACTGCTATGAGGATTTTTGCTCATTTTGTAGCCTTTTATTCCCTAACGGGTTCAATCAATATTATGGATTTTAAGCAACGAATTGTTTTTACCTGCATACATAAACAAAGTATCTAGGCACCATAAATATTTTATCTAATCAAACTTGTTATAAAGACCAGAGTCCGTTTAGATCATCTAATGGTTAACAGTGAATGCAGGTCCCCGGACGCCATCAAAACAAATAGTTACACACAATCCAATATTTTTAGATATAATTTAATTTTAGGTACATTATCTGGAAGATTATCATACACTCTGATAAAACTGGTAAATAAATGTATGTTTTCTGGAAGGTGCGAAGCTCTGTGGACGAACACTGCTCTGTCTAATAGGAAATAGTAACATATACTAGAAGTGTGATGCACAGGGAGCTGAACTCAATACAGTGCTCAGAGAGTCAAGGATTTTTCCAAAGAATGGTTATGGCCCAGGCATAGACTCTTAAAAGGTCACACACAATCTAGAGTACAATGTCTATACTTTCTGATGTCTAGACAGTGAACATCTCCAGTTAAGTGTGAGTCCATTTATGTTTAATGAGTGTTGTAAGGGCACCTTAGGGGTTAAAAAACTTGCCTACTCTTTGACTTTGCAAAATGGCTAAATTTCCATATGGCACTACAACACAGGATAAAACTTTCATTAAACATTTAAATAGTGAAAGGGTAGAAGTGAAGAATCATTAAGAGAATCATTAGGCTTGCAGTGTGCCAACTTCTTTTTTCATACATGCTATTGTTCAATGCACCTGTTAAATCTCTCTAGAAAGTGGGAGATGTCTACCAGCTGGTGTCTATTCTATTGAGAAACTATACTTGCGGCTGCTGTACCTTGAAGATCTAAGTGTGAGTCTCACAACCCTGAAAGCTTTGTCTTCAAAATTCATATTGACTACAGGTATGTCACTTTATTTGGAATTTAACTATTAATATTCTTTAGTTGGTGAATGTATCTATCTATCTATCCGTCTATCCGTCTGTCTGTCTATCTGTGTCTCTGTCTGTCTGTCTCTCTCTATCTCACTCAGTCTTTGGAAACTATGCTACAACTATCCAGTGATGTTTAAAATATAAACACACACACATTTTAATGTCCCCAAATCCTGAAAGTAGACACAATAATAGCTACATTTTGTGCAGAATCCTTATCCTTCACGCCCTTTTCTTTCTGTCTCCCCCTCTCTCTCTGTCGAAGCTATCACTCAGCAGAACATAAGGTTGTCTTTTATAATCTTTTTGTTTCTTTCCAAAAATGGAAGAAGAGCTTCTTTTGAGCCATTAAACAATATTAGTCTGCTTAATATGATAATAAACTGCTTTTTATTTTATCAGCTTTACCAAGGGTCTCTATCTTCTGCAGTAGACTAGGAGAGTACCGGACTACATTTGCATGGATATGTTTAGTTATTTGTAGCACTAACTTTGTTTGTTATGTTCTTACACACAATGTGACATCTAGAAAACAGTCCTGTAAATGTATGACTGTAGAGAGTGCAGTAATTACTCAAATCTACTGAAAATGTCTTAAAGTTATGGGATGTATATCACCTGAAAGTACTGTGGTTCCGTCACCTTGTGGAACGTAAGGATGGGTGAAGTTTTGATGATTAACTGGAGCTTGACCGCATCTTGTCCTGGCATTCCAACAAACCTACCCAAAATACTATTTAACGGTTTGTGTGTTACAGTCACCAAGGCATAAAATACATTCTCACTGGAATAAAACCACTACATTTGAAAACAGTGTCCCACTGGCTGTAAAATACCAGTAAGCCTACTTAGCATAGCCTGACTGGGCATGAGTGCAAAACTTCAATGGGTTATTTCTGAGTCACAACAATGTGCTAAATGAGCAAAACCCATGATATACTATATAATGTACAGAACAGTTTGACACATCATCCCCATTGTCTCTGAAGTTTATGTAGATCTAAGCCCTTATCTTTTTTTACTGTTCCATTAATCCAGATCCTAGGATTTCTGAAATCCCCTTGACTCTTTTTCTCTGTTACAGCAAGTATGTAGATAGTTTATAGACCAGAAAAGAAACTTCAGGAACCTTCAATGCTTGACTATGCTTCTGACAGAAATCAGAGACATAAAACAATATGTATCTTCAAACTGCATTGTGTAATAAGATTAATATATGTTTTAGGATGGATGATGATGACAAAGATGCAGCCAACATTTCTTCTGTCCGGAAACCTCCCAGTTGACAGAAGTTAATGGGTGAGTATGCGTTCAGTGTCAAAACATTATAAATATTAGTTTATTACACATCAAACGGAATAAAATACATTTACAAGCATGCGATAACATTTGGACTAATGCACTTATCTGATACATCTATACATGCACATATAATTAAATACACAGGGCGTAATAGCCAAAGAATATTTCTTGAGCAGTGTTCTGGGGGCAAAGGCTTGAGAAATGCTATGAAAACCTGAAATATTGGTGGTGGTAACAAATAAAGGTTGATTGTGCTCAATTAATTGTGAGACTCTGTCACTTATCATTTTGCAAACACTTTATTCATGGTTTTATAATTGAATCTAAATCCAGCACATCCTTTTGTTTTGTTTTTTAACCACTTAAAAGGATTAAAGGTATTTTGTCACCTTGGCAAGTTTTCCCTGCCCAATAATGTACTCAAGACTCACGCCAATTGTCATGTACACATGTTTGTTTCTGCTGATCCTAATCTGTTCCCATTCACTCCTCTCACTTACTGCTAAGAGCTAATTTTACTTTAGCAGAATAGCAATAATGTCTTATTCACAATGAGCATTTCAATGAATTTGTTCTTGGAAATAGACGGATGTCATGCTGCATGAATGTACAGTTGTGTTTTGCTCATTGCAATGGAATGAAAAACCGGATAACTCTGTACATACCTAATTTTCACTACCTTATAATCAAAAAGGTCATACATCCATAGCGTAGCTAAATATAGGAACATATTGAAAGGGGAGCTGTCACTTCCTGGGATTTTTACTAATATATTTTCTTATTTCTATATTTAACAAATATGTATTTGTTAGGTGTGAAAAATACAACTAAACATAGAAATCCACACCTCTTTATCCTGTAACTGGGAGCCTCCATCTTAGCTCCCTGGCAATTATTGTTACGAGCTCTGTCCTTTGCTCTGTCCAGTCAGCATTGAGAAAGAATACAGAGAAAAGGAGAAATGAAACAATATTCATATTTTTTTTTCATTGGCAATATATGCCTGGACTAGGCTTTGCCTGGATTGACTTGGGTTTTGATGGGATTTACAATATTTCTTAAAATACAAGTTTAAAAAAAAGCTGAGCGTCTGATGAAAAAAGGGTAACGTGTTATAAGTGATTTTCAATGTTTTCTTCCGCAGCATAAATTCCAGAGAAGTGACAATTCTCCTTTAATGTATAGTTTAGAAATGTGTAATGCAATATGCTTGCTTAATTTCGTTCTATAGAGTGTTGTTTTATGCTTTATATTGACCATTCTTTATTTCCTTTATCACACAGAGGAAAAGCCACTGCTTATGTGAATAGAAAATAATGACCTTGTAATTTGGTTCCCTTAAGACTGCAAAATGGAATCTATTCATAAAGTTGTGGATAATCTAGAAGTTCCTCAAAGTGATGCCTGTAAAGATTCAGAAGGCACAAAAGCAGTGAAGGAAGAAGGCCTGAACCAGTCCCTTCAAAACTCTAACTGGAAGCAGTTTAGTGAGAATGTGAACAATGAGACAGAATTTTCCAGGTGTCCCAAAGAATGTCATGACAACTTATCAACTGAGCCAATGAGGATGGAAGAAGGAGAGCAGAGAGTCTTTATAAATATTGCAGGTCTAAGATATGAGACACATCTCAAAACACTCAGTGAGTTCCCTGACACATTACTTGGAGACCCTCAAAAAAGAATCCATTATTTTGATTCCATGAGGAATGAATATTTTTTTGACAGAAATCGTCCAAGTTTTGATGGAATTCTATATTATTACCAATCTGGTGGAAAAATAAGGCGTCCTGCAAATGTCCCCATAGATGTTTTTGCAGATGAGATTGTTTTTTATGAACTTGGAAATGACGCTTTGGATCAGTTTCGAGAGGATGAAGGTTTTCTTAAGGATCCTGAAATACCGTTGCCAACCAATGACTATTACAGACAATTTTGGTTGCTTTTTGAATATCCTGAAAGCTCAAGTGCTGCAAGAGGAATGGCATTGGTCTCTGTTTTAGTAATAGTCATCTCCATACTCATCTTCTGCTTGGAAACATTGCCAGAATTCAGAGAAGAAAGAGATTTTCAAATGCACAGGGATTCAAGCAACTACACAGAGTACATAACTTACCTAAGCACCTTGACAGATCCTTTTTTTATGATAGAAACTATTTGTATAATATGGTTTTCTTTTGAACTAATTGTCAGGTTTATTGTCTGTCCGAGTACTTCTGAGTTCTTTCAGAACATCATGAATATCATTGATATTGTATCTATCATTCCATATTTTGTAACTCTTATAACTGAACTTGTAAAGCCACCAGAACCTAATGGCCAGCAAAACATGTCTTTAGCAATTCTACGGATTGTCCGTCTGGTTAGAGTGTTTAGAATTTTCAAGCTATCAAGACACTCAAAGGGACTTCAGATTTTAGGGCAAACCCTGAAAGCTAGTATGAGAGAACTAGGTTTGCTAATATTTTTTCTCTTCATTGGCGTAATACTCTTCTCTAGTGCTGTGTATTTTGCTGAGGTTGATGAACCTAAATCTCAATTTGTTAGCATCCCTGATGGTTTTTGGTGGGCTGTGGTGACAATGACAACTGTTGGTTATGGAGATATGTGCCCTATTACATTGGGGGGTAAGGTTGTGGGGACTCTGTGTGCTATTGCAGGGGTCTTGACCATTGCTCTACCAGTCCCAGTGATAGTGTCTAACTTTAATTACTTTTATCACAGAGAAACAGAGAATGAAGACAGACAAAGTTTACCAGTGGATCTAGAAAAGATAAGTTTAACAAACGTTACACGTTCAGGAAGTATAACCTCTCTGAAGAAAAACAATGGTTCTTGTGTACAAGACAAAAATTGTGGTAGCTAAATGTTGGAAACTATTTACTAAACTGGGAGTTGTTTAGAAATGTCAAGGGGACTGTAAACGTTAGGCTAAAAATAGACAATTTAGAAAAATCTCCAACTTTTTTTACAGCTCAATAATTTTAGACTGAAATTTACAATTCTGTTGTCAATATTCTCCAATTAATTGTTTAATTGTTCTTATACACACCAGTGTAAATTTTTATACTATGCTAAATGTAAAATAGGAGCACACATAGGAGGAAATTGCTGGTCAATAATTTATTAGCTAAAAACAGTCAAAGGATAATAAATAATAAATTATTTTATATTTTGGAATACATAATTCTGTGAACAAAATGACAATACTATATCAAGCAAACATGTAAAAAATATTATTAATATGTCTGAGAAAACAACCCATACCACAATTTGGTAAATAACAATAGTACTAGGTAAGTGTCAAGCAGTACCAGGTAACAAGCACTTGATTTATTATATAAACTAATACAACCAATTCTTCACTCAGGAGAACAAAAACAGTGTACTACATTTAGGACAACAGTACTTGCATGTTGTGGCCTAAATTATCATTCAATAAAACAGTATTAAGATATTTGGTAAATTTAATATAACTATACTGTTTCATTTACTTGTAGCTAAACAAAAAAATCTGAATTGGAATCTTCATCCCTTGAACCTGTTGAGTAAAACTCAACTTGACATGAAGCGGTTTCTTCTGTTTTCATGTCAGGTGACGCCAGTCATCTTTGTTTTTATTTTTACAAATAAGGGAACAGTAAATTTTGGTGCAATAACAACAATAACAACCAAATGTACAATGTAGACTAAAATTGGCAAGTTAAAAAAAATGTAATACTTTTTCTGCTTTGGCTAGTGTGATCGTAGTTCCGTCTCTATGTCAGCTGACTACAGTCCACGACAATCCACTTTAATGACACACATCTACTTTGTTTTAGGGCAGTATTGCATGTAAGCATCATACCTTATGTGTAACTTCCATGAATATGGCTATATTCTTTCTTTTTTCAATTGATAGTGCCCTCCTCTACATATCCATCTGTTGTATATGAAGAAGCGTTAGGGCCACTGTATTACAACCACTAGATGGTAATTTTTACCCAGTCACAGACTAAATTTCAATGCTTAACTGGCTCATAAGCACTGTCCACTATTTCACTATTCCACTATACTTGCATATTTCCATTATAGACCAGTTCACTATATTTATTAATGTGTGCATGTGTAATGTATTTTCTGTCAGTATTATGAACATGTTTTTTTATCATAGTATGTTTATTAAAAAAATCTAGTCCTCGATTTCTATAAAAATGAAACAAAAAACTGCAAATGATTAGTTATAAACCAACTGAGACTTATATTAAGTAGAGTATTAAATGCAAGTACTAATGTAAAAAGGCTGAAATATAAATTATATTAATTAAAATATAGTCTAAACAGAAAAGCATTAAGATCCAACAGAGACCAATGGGGGTTTCCAGTGTGCTCACACCCCCACCCCCTTCATTCATTATATATGTAAAGGTAAAAGGGCCAAGCAAATTCATGGTTCTTGGCCCCCTGTGTTACCCTTGGGTTCTAGGCACCTAGAGTCACCTTACATGTAATCATGCTCTGTGTCTAAATCTTCTAGATAACAGGAAACAAATGTTGTGATTGGCAAGTGATATGTGGAATACAACTTTGCTCTGTTCTGACAGTCTCCAAAGCTATGTATTAAAGAAATAGTAAGCTTTCTTTCAACAGTAGAATCAATCACAGTGGGACAAGTAATGATGACGTACCCTAAAAACTACAGGAATTAAGAGATCTCTTATACTTGGAAAAGGTCTTATGTCACTGGGGTATACAGAGATCCTAATTGAACTGCAACTTCAAAATGATTATTTTGATTCATTATTTGTTTGTTCCAGTTAAGGTTTAATTTATGATTATACTGATACTCAATTAAACTGCATTGGATAACTGTGCTGGATTTATAAAAAAATAAAACATTTAAAATTAGACTAATACTTTGTGTATAAAGCATGGAGAGTTTAAGTTGAGAGAATATTGTGTTTCATACATTACATTAGAATAAGGTTAGGAGTTGGTCTAAATGATATAACAAACAAACAGGATTTCACGATTGATTCACATTGTGAATAAAATCATGTTAATACATTCTGATTGTTCTGTTCTCTAGGTTACATTGGTCATGCATTTACATTATGTTTAGAAATTATACCTGAAGAGATTGAAGATAATATAGTACAGTGGTGCCCAACCTTTTTTCACTTGTGTACCCCTTGTCAGTCAATTTTCATAAATCGTACCCCTCATATTAGTGATATGTTTTTAATTAATATTAGTTTTTTTTCCTCTGCCCCATCTTCCATTTTTCTCTGTCTAGGCTTCCCCTGCTTCTCTTCTGCCACACTTGATACAACACCTGTTTTGCATATTTGTGCTGTTGTGAGGGATTCTGTTCAGTGAGATTAATCATTTTGAGACCGGAGAAGTAATTACAGTGGTACCTCAGTTTACGAATTTAATGCGTTCTCCGGGAAGTTTCTAATTGCGAAAAATGCGTAAACCGAAACGCGGTTTCCCATAGGAATGCATTGAAAACCAATTAATCCATTCTGGAGGTCAGAAAAAAGTCAAAATGAGCTGGCATGGAAACCAACCCACAATGCAGAACACACAGTAAAAGGCATGCAAATGATGAAGCTCAGCTCCCTACCTTTCCACCGCTTGAGAAATGCACCCAAAAAGTTCCCAAAAGTCCAAAAGCACTGCAATATTTTTTTAGAATGGCTCCAAAACTCGATGCAAAAGCTGCTCCAACACCTCCAACACCTCCACACTCGACACCACGTGCTACCCACAGACTCCAGCATGCACAGGGGCGGCGCTATAAACCTCCCAGGCGCAATGCATCCTGAGGAAACTTGCTTTGTATTGTGAAAAAAATAAGTATCCGAGGCATTATTTTCAATGGATATTCATTTGTACACCGAAAATTATTTTATATATATATCTATATATATAGATACACATACAGATACAGAAACACAGATACAAACACTGACATACATGTAGATCCACAGACACACAGATACAAACACTGACATACATACAGATAAAGACACACACAAAATCCTACAAAGACACTGTCACACGTGCAAATGCACATACACAAAGATGCAAACACTGCCACTAATGCAGTTGCACAGACACACTGATACACACACTGCCACACATAAAATACAGACACACAGATACAAACACTGACACATATGCAGATGCACAAACAAACTGATACAAATGCTGAACTACAGAGAGATATAGACACACACAAACTCAGACAAAGACACATAGATACAAACACTGACACAGAAACAAAGACTGCCACACATGAAGATGCACAGACACACGGATATAAACGATGAAATACCTACAGATACACTGCCACAGAAACACACCGCCACACATGCAGAAACAAAAACACACATTTATAAACACTGACACACATACATATACAGACACACATATATATTCAATGAATGCATAGACATACAGATACACACAATGACACACATGCAGATACACAGGCACACAGACACAAACAGTGATACACTCATACAGATACAGACACAGCTACAAACACTGACACACATGCAGATACACAGATACAAACACTGACACACACATAGATATGTAGACATACAGATGCACAACAGATACAAACACTGCCACATACAGATGTACAGGCACACAGATACAAACACTGCCACATATGCAGATACATAGACATACAGTTACATACACTGACACACACACAAATACAAACACTGACACACACACAGATAGAAACACTGACACCATACATATGTACAGACACTGGTCTTCAGTATTGCATACAATACTCCAAGTGAGGTCTCACCAGTGTTCTATACAATATTTTACGTCCAAGATGCATTATCTTGCACTTATCCACATTAAATGTCAGTTGCCACAGCTCTGACCATTTTTCTAGTTTACCTAAATCATTTGCCATTTGGCTTATCCCTCCTGGAACATGAACCCTGTTACATATCTTAGTATCATCAGCAAAAAGACATACCTTACCATCAAGACCTTCTGCAATATCACTAATAAAAATATTAAAGAGAATGGGTCCAAATACAGATCCCTGGGGTACCCCACTGGTGACAAACCCATGCTTCAAAAATACTCCATTCACTACTACCCTCTGTTTGCAGTTTATTGATAAGCCTTCTATGTGCAACAGTGTCAAAAGCCTTACTGAAATCTAGGTGAGCAATGTCTACTGCACCACCCTGATCTATTATTTTAGTTACCCAATCAAAAAAATCAATAAGATTAGTTTGGCATGATCTTCCTGAAGTAAACCCATGTTGTCTCTGATCTTGAAATCCATGTGATTCTAGATATTCAACAATCTTATCCTTTAACATGGTTTCCATTACTTTCCCCACTACTCAATTAAGACTTACTGGCCTCTAGTTGCCCGACTCCTCCCTACTACCTTTCTTGTAAATGGGCACAACATTCGCTAACTTCCAATCATCTGGGACTACTCCTGTTAACAATGATTGGTTAAATAAATCTGTAAATACATACAGGTCAGAATTGTAGCCACCCTCCGGTTTCCTAGAGTTTCCTCTTCTGGCTGTGGTTTTTGGG